TCAGGGGCACACTGCCTGGCCTCCCAGGCTTTCTGAAATCTGGGTGGAAGCCTCTTTAACCTCAGAACTCTTGCATTCTCCATGCACTTAAAGCCAGGGCCATGTGGATGATGCCAAGGTCTGCTGCCACCTGGAGCAGTAGCCAAGTTTTCCTCTCTCTTGGCCACAGAAGTTGAGTGCCTGGATTTCTGGGCACTCTGAATCCAATTCTGAGGAACAGATCTTCTATGCTGCTGCCATTCTGTAACATGGCAGTCAGCAGCTTTCTTCTCAAAGCAAGGTCTTTCACCTTTGCAGTTTTGAGGCTGCAAAGGGTGGAGACTTACTGCTTCTTGTGATGCCCTCAGGCCATCTTTTTTTATTTTCTTGTTCCTTCTCAACAATGGAGATCTCAGCTCCACCTTTGCAGTCCACAGTGTCACTGGAGCTTTCTTTCTGGCCAAATTCACAACATTTTAAATCATCCTGCTGGGCTCTTTCTTCTTGATTTTCAATATAATTCTGGCTAAAAGCCCCCAACAATAGCCATCCCACTTCCCCAATACTTCACTGCCTTGAAATTTCTTTTGCCAGATTAATCAGTCTGCTGACGTCCTTAATCTCAGTCTTAGGTAAAGTCTCTCAACACGAGCAAAATGCAGACAAACTTTCTGCCAAGCCATAACACTCATGGTCTGGAGTCCAACAACCAATGAAGTCCTTCTTCCTAACAGAAACCTCCCAAACCCGGTGTTTACCAGCAGGATTTCTATCAGTTTTCTGATCTTCTGACCTCTAACCAGAATCTCCCAGACAGAACAGCCAAAAGCATTCAAGCTCTACTCTTTCAGGCGACATCTCTGAACCTTTCCAAACTCTTCCCACAAGCCACTTCCAAAGGCTCTTGAACTACATGGTCAGGTATAGTCACAGCAACGACCCCACTTCTGGTAGCAGATTCTGTCTTGGTTACTTTTCTCTCTCGTTGCTGAGACAAAATACCCAATGCCAAAAATTAAGAAAGGAAAGGTTTATTTAGCTTACATTTTGTGGTGGTTACAGTCCATACTTGGTTGGCTCCGAGGCAGAAGATAACAAAACAACAAGAGCAAAGGGGACAATGGCAGCTGAACAGCAAAGCAGCCAGGGCAAAAGGGAAGAATCGTGGCAAGCAGCCTCTTCCCCTCCCTTACATTGTAAACAGGCTACCCCCACCTAAGGGGCGTATAGCTCTCACATAATCTCCATGCCCTCCTTTCCCACAGGCTCAGGATGTGTACAAAGTAAGCACCCTGGCTTCCTGCTGAGTCACTTACCCAAACCTCTAGACTCCCCAAGTTAACACAATGTATCAACCATAACACCAACCTATGCTATATGGCAAACATATTCTTTCACACTTACTACTTTCTGTATTTCACTGGAGAAAGAAAGAATAAAGAAGCAAAATAAAAGGAATTTAAAAGGCAATCTCAGTACCTAACATGCACATGAATATGCACCCAGTCATAATCAAATAAAATGTGCATTTATTTATGACCTGCCTAACACTTTCCACTCATGACAAAAACATGTAAATGGGAACCAGTACATTAAAAACTACTTAGAGAAAGTTAAGACAAGCACATCTTTTACCAGTCAAGGGAGAAAAAGATGAAGAGCACCTAGCAATTGAAAATATATCTTAAAACACTAGGCTTACTATTATATTCATTTTTAATGGAATAAAGAAGAAAGAGAAGTGTCAACATACCATAGACTCGATTCTTTCAGTCAGAATTCTGTATTCTTGTGTACCTGGTGAACTTAACTGATCATTGTATTCAACATTCATTACTCGAACATTACTGTGGTAAAAGCAAGATTTTTGATCTGGAAAACAAAGAAAAAGCAGGGTCAGTCTCACGTTATGAAGTAGGTGATTTTTTTCAGGATTATGGGAAGTTATACAATTAAAGTTGGCTTCCCTAAAAGAAAGAAAAGAAAAATGTATACTTCATGTTAACATAACGATAATAATATTATTTTTCTTTTAGTTTTAAAAAAAGATTGGCAAACCCATAACTCTGAAACCTGTATGAAATTTAAAGTAGCATTATTATTTGAGGTATTAAAACTAATCCAAAGTGCTATCATTTTCATTCTTATATTTTTGGGAGATTTGTTGATTCATCACAGAAATATATTGAATATCTATAGTATGCTATTATTTAAGGTATCATCAAGGAAGAATTCAAGTAACTCTGAATAGGTTTAAAATTATTTTACTGGAAAGGGACCAAGAGTCAGGAAGAATAAGCACAGATGGCAGGGTGGGGTCATGCGAAGGGTCAGGGTATGTTTTGTCTGTGATGAATGTAGTCATCATGCATTGCAAATATGAGTAATATAAAGTATTTTAAGCTGTGTTCTTTATAGAAGAATTAGTGTTTTGGCATTACCTTTTTTGTAATAAGCTGGAAAATAAATCTGCCAGAGTATCTAATCCGCTTTGTCCATTGTGAGTTATTTTCACCAAAAGGGTCTTCCAGAATACATTCTCAGCTATGTGATGTGATAAAAATCTCTAAAATATACTTCCCTTACACAACTCCAAACATCACTAGGGACCTGATCCTGCCTTTTTTTCCCCCTAACTATTTGCATAAACAATTTATGAAGTGAAATACATTGCATGTAGGAAAGGATTGGAGCCCCCTGTGCAGGGGCCCATCGTTAGTCTTTGTGGTGGAGAGAATAAGTATACTGGGCCCTACGTGACCAGGGGATAGGGTTTGCATGGGTTTCACCTAGGCACAGGCTCTCTCTGTGGTTTTGAATTTTACTCTTTATTTTTATTAGCATGTGTTTGCGGTACATAATGACTACATTCATTGCAGGGAACTGGCACATGCACATAACACATCTCAAATCTTTCTTTTCCCTTCCCCTCCACCACCTTTTCTAAAAAAGTTTTTTTTGGCCAGCATCAGATTCATTTATTTATTTTGTAAGTCTTTATCAAGTTAATTATCATAAACATAAATTAAAAGCCAGACTAACAGGCCAAAAATCACACAAAACACATAAGACAATTATATTAAATCAAGGTACACCTTCAGATGTATTGGCCATGCTGGATTATAACTTATTTTCTCTCTTATTTACCCTAGTGTCTTTTTATTTTGCACTTTATATATTTGGTTTCTTATATTAGAAAAAAATATGAGACATTTAAACTTGTTTATCTAATTTATTTCACTTCACATTATGGTTTTGAGGTGAAAGGATTTTGACTCATTTATCCTTCTTTATGGCAGAGTAGTACTCCATCATATATAGACATCACATTC